GAGGACAACAAAATAATCCTCACTGCTTGACGAATCCATTTTGTATTTTTGCGTTTTTTCCCGCAATTGGTTTAATAAATACGCATCGGACTCGGTGTGCAAGGTTTCTGTGCGTGACGAATTTTAAGGCTGACGAACACGAAAAAACGCATACGAAAATTTCGTACTCAGTGTGCAATGGCCTTAAGAGTGAGAGAGATAGTGTGTGTCTGTGTGTGTGTGTGTGTGTGAGAGAGAGAGAGTGTGTGAGTGTGTATGTGTGTGTGTGTGTGTGTGTGTGTGTGTGTGTGTGTGTGTGTGTGAGTGAGTGAGTGAGTGAGTGAGTGAGTGAGTGAGTGAGTGAGTGAGTGAGTGAGTGAGTGAGTGCAAGAGAGTGTGTGTGTGTGTGAGAGTGAGTGAGTGCGAGAGTGTGTGTGTGTGTGTGTGTGTGTGTGTGAGAGAGAGAGAGAGAGAGAGAGAGAGTGTGTGTGTGTGAGAGAGAGAGAGAGAGAGAGAGTGTGTGTGTGTAAGAGAGAGTGTGAGTGAGTGTGTGAGAGTGTGTGAGTGTGTGAGAGAGAGAGAGAGTGTGTGTGTGTGTGTATGTGTGTGTTTGACTCACCCAGCAGAGCTTGAAACAGGTCACTCTGAAAGATGGTCAACAGTTTCTCGGCGCGACTCCTGAATCCTTCATCACCTGCTGATTGACAGGCTTCCATGGCCTGCAGCGCTCGCTCCGTATCTAACACACACACACACACACACACATTAAACACAGACGCATGTAACAGTCTGTAACTGTGATAGTGATCACGCCAACAGCAAATACACACACATGACGACACGATCATCATTCACAGCAGAAAGTGTCTCACCTTCTCGTTTGAGAGGCATGTCAGCGTGTCGCTCCTCTGATGTGTGTTTCGCTCCTCTGAAGTGTGTGTGTGTGTGTGTGTGTGTGTGTGTCTCCAGCTGTCGTTTGATCCTCTGAACTTAAACCTCTTTAGGGCTTTGAGCCGCTGCCCCGCGGCCTGCTGGGAGATGGAGTTCAGTGAAGCACACACCAGAATGAGACGAACCTACACGATTCCTCAGATCAGGTGTTGTTCTCGTCTGTCCGGCAGACACGGGCGTAACGGCACGTCTCCCAATCAGCCCACACACACACACTCAGACGCCCACCACCCCCACAAAACTAATAACAATGATCAAAATAGTTCAATGCTTTTGTTGTTTTTACTCATCTAACATTTTATTCAAATAAATAAGCTACACAATTTTAATTAGGCCTACCAATGACATTTTAATACCACACCAAAACTACTATATAACTAAAGACTTTACTATAAAGTTCAACTGTTATAAAAAAAGCAAATAAACTTAACAAAAGAGAAAAAAAGAACAAATAAACATAGTTACAAGCAGTGCCCCCCAAAAATAGAACAAAGATGCAACAGATAATACAGAAATAACAGTATTTTATTTTTATAACAGTATTTTATTGATTATTGTTTAGGTATAAACATAGCCTAATGTATTCTGAAGGAATATTCTCATCAGTGATCAACTTTTACATAAATCTGCATATATTTTGTTTAATTTACTCCAGGTGTAACGGAGGCCAGCTGGTAGTTGCTGTGCAAGTAAACCTCACTCCCCGATCTCAATAGGCGTTCTAGCGACAGATGCTAGAAGCTGCAGTCTTTAGCCTCCTATAGCGCGCCTGACTCTCATGCCGGAGTCCCAGATTCAAGGCCCGCTCAGAGCAGGTCGAGTTGGATCCGGGTGTGAGGGGTTACACAGGGCATTATGTATCTTTATTACACTTCAAATTAAATAATTTAGTTTATACACTGCAAAACTGCAACTGCAATAAATAGCCTGTTATGAGATTAATGTTTTTAAATAAAAGTTCAAATATACAAGAAAAAAAAACATAAAAACATTTTTAAACATAAAACTACACCGCCAATAGGTGGCGGCAGAATGATGGTAATCCTATTTTCGTAGGTGAAATATAGGCTAACTAAAACAGTAAAGTAACTTAATATAGGCCTTAATACAAGTAGCCTTAATACAGGCTAATTGTTTGTAATAATAAACATTTATGATAATTAAATAGGCTAGCCTACTTCGCGATAATATTCAGCAAAACAGCTCCCTTGGTCGTGTTATGTAAATAGCCTAAATCATGCGTTAGCCTTTTTTCTACTTATATATATATATATATATATATAAATATATATATATATATATATATATATATATATATATATTACACTTATTTAGCTGTTGTTGCATCCCTTTACAAGCCATCTCATTTTTTCTTTATCCATTTTTTTTTTCAATGACTACGAACTTGTAGGCTCCCGCTCGATCAGCGCCCACAGCGCCCCCGCCCGCTCGCTCGCGATATTACCCCCCATGATTCTATGTTGGAATCTCATGAGGGCGCCGGCTCTAGCCCGTTAGTACTCTAAAATGTTATATAACAATGAGGAAACACAGAAATGTTTTAGAAACGCACAACAGCAGATACATATTTAGAAAATACCAAACAAATTATTATTTTTTACCATCGCTTTGCCGCCCCTATGAGGTGCATATAGCGCATACACACTTTTTGCGCCAGTGAGTGCAGATCAATGATATTAATGAATATTAAGTGTCTTAATTTAAACCCCAACTGATCACACTGAAGGCGACATTTGCGAGGAAACCTAACTCCATCACACACACACACACACACACTCGCTCACTCACTCACACTCAAGTGAAATCAGTCTCTACACATCTTCAGTCAGCTTGTTTAGACGTGCTGGAGTTTCTATCTTTGGAAATAAAGGCTCGTTTAGACGTCCTGCTCTATTTTTAACGAGAGTGTTTAATCTGGAGATGTTGAGAGTTATTGAACTGACGAGATCTGTAGACTGACTCGTGTGTTCTCTAGAGCTGCTTTACAGCTGAATCTGAGTTTGTCTCATATTTGATGAAGTTTCTTAAGATACTTTTAAAACAGTCTGTGCTGTCTCAAGTGCGGTTCGGTATATAAGGCCTGCATGCAATCGTGTGCTCTCTTCACGAAATTCGACAAACGTTTTCTTCCAGCTTCCATTTATCTGCTCTTCCGAGGGCTCGGGTGTGCTCGTTGGACCTCGGCTTAAATGAAGCATAGACGAGTCGAGACTACATGATGATCTGAGATGTCATCGCTCTGCTGCAGAATTTCGACAGCATCAACATCTATTCCATGTGATAATATTAGATCTAGAGTACGATTACGACAATGAGTGGGTCCTGACACGTGTTGTCTAACTCCAATAAAGTTAAGGATATGTAACATTGACATTTCTTCATTTAGCTGACGCTTTAATCCAAAGCGACTTACAATCGCTATATATGTCAGAGGTCACACGCCTCTGGAGCAACTAGGGGTCAAGTGTGTTGCTCAGGGACACATTGGTGTCTCACAGTGGATTCGAACCCGGGTCTCTCACACCAAAGGCATGTGTCTTACCCACTGCGCCATCACCATCCCTGAATGCCAATCCCAATATATCTTTTACGTTATCTACATGTATATTGAAATCACAAATGATTAGTACTTTATCTGCAGCCAGGACTAACTCTAATAGAAAGTCAGCACATTCTTTGATGAAGTCTGTATGGTGGCCTGTATTCAGTAGTCAGTGCAAATCTCAACGTGATTTATCATTTACACTAGATAGTTACCAGTGTTAGGGAAAGTAACTTTTAAAAGTAATGCAATACAATATTGACACACCAAAAGTGAAATAAGCTTCAGGCTGAATAATGCCGGTGTGTCCAGTAGAGGGCGCCGCTCAAACTAACCCCTCAGCTGCTGATCTGGAGAACGGAAGAATAGGAGACAGGAGAACCCTAACTTTACCAATAAAAACAAAGAAAATCTTTAGTCATTTTTGCTTATGCTTTACCTCAATCATCGAAGGTCAGACGCAAGTACATTAGTCAAAGTGAGATTAAATGCATAAAATATGTTAGCATAGTGTTCTAATACTGCATTTCAATGACTATTCATTTTGAGGAAAATTAAAAAAAAACTATTTTGGAAGTGAGATGATACTGAAGATATTACTATAAGTTACAGCAACGCCTCCCTCTTTGCCTTTCCGAAGAGGCTCCAGTTTAAAAGAATAATCTTGACGGGTGGACTCATATACGCAATTCAATTATTAAAGCACCCCATTATTTTACATGTCTAAACTAGTCCTAATCAACTCACCTTCTTACATAAACCACAAGAAACCATAAGACAAACCCTTAATTTGGCGAGTCAACCGCTCCTCGGCTCGTGCGTGGAATGTGGCCTGTAACCATTGACGACCGCTGACTGGGTGCTATTGGCTGATGCTGATGAACTGCTGATGTGCTATTGGCTGATGAACTACTGCCATAGGATCACCGAAACATGTTTAATACCTGTAATTTGTTATACTTCGTTTTTCAGCAAGACATCAGAAACATGCATTTTGCCCTCATTGTGAAACCGTCGGTAGACACACAGTTCTCAGCATGTCGGATACACTGTTCTCAGGTCAGTGTGCGGTTGCACTAACTAGAGCGCTGAAGGAGTTGGCGGGATCATAGGATCATAAATGCAAACTTTTACAGACGGTTCAGTCCAAATTGGTGACCTGCTTCATCCAGTTCACTAAAGAGAACCAGTTCAAAAGATTCATTCGTCATTAGAAGAGGAGCCGCAACAATGGAGAATATGGGGAATATATATATATATATATATATATGTTCAACATTCAAGCAGGAAAACCTGTTCTAGCAGAGCCTGAAATCAAGACCTCGAACAAATCACAGCCTTTTGAAGTTAAATATAGCGTCTCCGGTTTAATATAGCGATTCCATCTCCAAATTTAAAACATCTTGAAATGATAATTTTGACTTTTCTTACACCATTTAAATTTGATCAAACTAAACGCAAGACTTGTTACAAACCCTGCAGTCGGAGGAAATCAAGCACAATCAAACCCGCAACAGAAACAGATTTATTTGCACATGTGGAAGCGGCTGAGATCAGAGCGGTGTGCGTCAGTGTTACAGGGAAACGTGCGTGTCGTCAGAGCGGATCGAGTCACACGTGACACACATAACGCTCATGTGACCCGGAGGTCAAAGAGTCTCAGTTCTGACACGTATAACAGTTAAAAACAGAGCACACAGGAAGTAGTCCAGCTGTAGGGCACAGGAAGAACAAACCTCAGCACAACATTACCAAACACCAAAAACTGTGTGTCGGTTTCAATCAGAAGATCCGATGACAATTCCATCGCTCTTGCTGAAACTCACTTCCTGTTAGAGGCGGGGCCTTTATGGAACAGGTAAATCGACCTCTGAAACCCTGAAAAGGGAATCAAAGCAGAATAAAATGTCACACTGATGATCAGCTGATCACAATCTGTCACACAGAACTCCTTTTCAACAAAGTCTGATTCATCAGAAAATTCAGTCAGTAAATTTGTGTGTGTGAATGTCTATCAAATGTGCCTGTACGTAGCTCATAGCCAATCAATTCAATGATACCAGGTGACGCATGTGGAGCGACAGAAAATCAGACGAGGAAGACGATGATGGGTCTTATGGGTTTATGTATACACAAAGGCTGTGTCAAAAGGTCAAATTTGGTTCATGGTGTCCAGGCTGCTTAGCAGCGTGAATAAAATGGGTCAGGGGGCGGTGGTGGCGCAGTGGGTAAGACACATGCCTTTGGTGTGAGAGACTCGGGTTCGAATCCACTGTGAGACACCAATGTGTCCCTGTGCAAGACACTTGACCCCTAGTTGCTCCAGAGGCGTGCGACCTCTGACATATATAGCAACTGTAAGTCGCATTGGATAAAAGCGTCAGCTAAATGAAGAAATGTAAATGTTAAATCGAGCTTCGGCAAGGCAGCATGGGAAACTGATATTTATCCAAAACAATGTATTGTGAATATTACATGTCTTTTATAAATAATAATAATAATTTGTTAGATTTATATAGCACTTTTTCTGGGACCTCAAAGCTCTTTACACGAAAGAGGGGGAAGAGGGTCTTTTAAAACATAGAGGTACGTACAGCTGCAATGAAGTGAGTGAGATTACTGACTCCCAATTGAAAAATTGTGTGATACTGATATTTTCCGGTTCATCTCTGTGAAGCATCTGTATTGAATGAAGTGCTGTAGAAATTAAAGTGACTTGGGTGGATGGATGGATGGATGGATGGATGGATGGATGGATGGATGGATGGATGGATGGATGGATGGATGGATGGATGGATGGATGGATGGATGGATGGATGGATGGATGGATGGATGGATGGATGGATGGATGGATGGATGGATGGATGGATGGGTGGATGGGTGGGTGGATGGATGGATGGACTCGATGGATGGATTCGATGGATGGATGAACTCAATGGATGGATGGGTGGATGGGTGGATGAGCGGATAGATGGGTGGATGGATGAACTCATTGGATGGATGGGTGGATAGATAAACTTGATGGATAAATGGGTGGATGGATGGGTGGATGTGTGAATGGATGGATTAACTCATTGGATGGATGGATGGACTCATTGGATGGATGGATGGACTCATTGGATGGATGGATGGATGGATGGATGGATGGATGAACTCAATGGATGGATGGATGTGTGGATGGGTGAACTCAATGGATGGATGGATGAACTCAATGGATGGATGGATGGATGGATGGATGGGTGGATGGATGAACTCATTGGATGGATGGATGTGTGGATGGATGAACTCATTGGATGGATGGATGTGTGGATGGGTGAACTCAATGGATGGGTGGATGAACTCAATGGATGGATGGATGGATGAGTGGGTGGATGGATGAACTCAATTGGATGGATGGGTGGATGAGCGGATGGATGGATGGATGAACTCATTGGATGGGTGGATGGATGGATGGATGGATGAACTCAATGGATGGATGGATGGATGGATGGATGGGTGAACTCAATGGATGGATGGATGGATGAACTCAATAGTGGATGGATGGATGAACTCAATAGTGGATGGATGGATGGATGAACTCAATAGTGGATGGATGGATGAACTCAATAGTGGATGGACGGGTGGATGAACTCAATGGTGGATGGATGGGTGGATGAGCGGATGAGCGGATGGACGGGTGGATGGGTGGAGAGGCAGACAGATAGAGGGATGATGTACCTTTAGCACATGTGCGCGGTGAGCCGATGAGCTCGTAGCTGCTGAAGCCGATCTCAGCGGTGAGGAAGGAGCTGAACTGGTCAGGCTTGAGTCTAATGCTGCTGTAGTTCTTGTAGGTCTCCTCCTGAAACACACACACATCAAACATCACACACCACTAATCATACACAATATCCTAAAGCTTCAGTCTATATATTAAAGCATCGATGTGACGGCTCTTGCGGCGGCTGTAGCAGCTCCAGGGCTGGGGTTCGAGGATCAGGTGTAACAGAGGTGTGTGTGTGTGTGTGTGTGTGTGTGTGTGTGTGTGTGTGTGTGAGTGTGTGTGTGTGTGTGTACCGTCAGTCTCTTGCGGCGGCTGTAGCTGCTCCAGGGCTGGGGTTCGAGGATCAGGACTCCTCCAGGTAACAGGTGTCTGTAGATGCGATGGAACAGTCTCTTGAGTCCAGCGTCTCCGGAGTTTAAATGGACCCACTTGGTCAAACTCAGACACAGGATGACATCATACTCAGCACACTGTGACATCACTGACGCATCACTGTCCGGCACGTAGTTGCCCTGAACACACACGCACACTACATGAGATCAGTCTGGGCATTGGCCACAATGCACACAACACACACACACACACACACACACACACACACACAGACTGTATGGAACGTAACAGTAAAGGTAAGTCGCACGCGCACCTGCAGGAAGGACAGGTTGCAGGGGAACGGGCCGGGGCAGAGAGCCATGATGGGAAGCGTGGCGATGGGTCCCCTGCAGCGAGTGAAGGACACAGGGAACCTGGGTAATGCTGAGGTCCGGTCCAGCTGGAGGCCCATGAGCGGCGCCAACCCCTCGACCTCTGACCCACCTGACTGCTTCCTGTCCTGTAATTCCGACAGGAAATGGCGTAGGTTCTGGCGGGCCGTGTGCACCAGTGCCCCGTCCAGGTCCAGGCCCAGGATGTGGGCAGGGCTCCAGTGCCACGCAATGGCCAGGGTCACGTGACCCGTGTTGCAGCCCACGTCCAGGACCCGTTTCCCGCGGAACCACTCCGGCTTAAAGAAGGCCAGACGTGGGTCGGCGATCAGCGACGGCGTGCGGTAACCGTAGTAACGGCTGTAGGTTCCGTACTGGAACTGGCGCTGAGGCTTGCGCTGCTGCTGGGTTAGTGCCGCCCCTGGAGGAGGGGCTCTGCTGGCTCCACCCACAACAGGAGTGTGGAAGGTCTGCACAACTGGACGTTTAGTAGGCGGAGTCGGCGTGATTGACAGGCGGTCAGAATGGCTGGTGGTTCGTCTGCGCTTCCTGTGTTTAGATGACTGGGTGGAGCTAGTCGAGGAGGGGTGGGACCGTCGCCGCGGCAATATGGGCGGCACCACTTCGTCGCGGCAGTTGATTGATGTGTTGAGCTCATACGGGCGCGGCGACTCCTCCACGGGTTTCAGCGCCACGGCGACCGTAGCCTCCACGACAGGGAGCGTCAACCCCTCAATGACCTTTGGCCTCTCCGCGTCAGAGGGGTCAGCGGCAACCCCCGGGTGGTGCCGGTTGCGGTGTCGGCGCCGGCTCTTCATGGGCGACACCAGCACGCCAGCGGCCGCATCCGCACAGCTCAGGTTCAGCGGGTCTGTGATGTCTTTCGGGATCAGGATCTCCACCGGCTCGCGGCTTCTGGAGGGAAGCGGCGATGATTTGGGCGTCTCGGCGTTAAGCGCCTTGCTAACCTCCTCGTCCAACAGACTGTTGAGGTTCAGCGGATCGAAGATGTTCCCGCCCATCAGGAAGTTAGAGGGTAGCACCGGGTCACTTTCAGAGATAGCGCGGCGCCTGCGTTTCCCAAGACTCGGATGTTTAAACCCCACGTTCATGCTAAAGCGGCGCTTGTTGAGCTTCTGTGGTGCTGACGTCTCGCCCAGTGTCTGCAAGCTGCTCTTCATCTGGAAGGGTCTGTCGTGGTTGACCCCATCCTGAGGAGTCACGTGATTAGCGGCGAGTTCGGTTAGCACCATGTTAGCGGTCACCTGCTCCTGGACGGTTGTTAGCAGCGGAGACGGAGCGTGACAACCTGCCCCGCTAGCGGCCGGAAGCTCACTCTGCACGGACATCACGCTCCACATCCATCAGCCTAGGAAAACACAGGTCACAACACGTTAGCTTCAACCACAACAGTTCAACACATTAGCTTCCGCCACAGAATGAGAAAATTTAAAAGAACTACTGCGACTTTTATGGCCCTTGCACGCGGAGTCCGAAACTCTTGCACATTAAAAAATAAATACAACCTCACGTTGTGTCACTGCCTCCGAAACTATCGTCCATCATAGAAAAATTCTTATCGGGTTTGATTTTCTGCGTTTTTTGGTATTCGTATCGTAGCCAGCATTTTGAGGGCTTTTTGACAATTCAGAGCCACTGAATGACGAATACAAAAACAAACATACATGTCAGAAATACCTTTAATCTCAATATTCTGGCTTTTTTCCTCACAATTGCCATAAAAGTGTAGAACTATGAGAACAAAAGTCAGAATTATGACACAAAATGCAGTTTTACTTTTTACTCCATGGCAAAAATAAGCTTACTGCTACTAATAAGTTCTACTTCCTAACAGACAAGCGGGTGAAGAGTACTTACTTGACTAGCGATCCTTCAGTATAGTTTGATGTACATTGATGTGCTTGTGATCCACGTGTTACATTTGACAATCAACACCGCCACGCCATCGGCTCCGCCCTGATAATTTGAATAACACCGCCCCCAGGAGGGTCTACCGCACTGCTAATGAATAATGCCTCAGAAACAAGAGTCCCAGAAGCTCACGCCCCTCTTTAACACACACACACACACACACACTTGTAAGCGCGATTGTTTCTCCGCCTTTCTTTCGTAAAAACATACGCGAAAAACACTCCTAAATAACGCACTGGTACACTGTGTTTTGCGACAGATACGCCCTCTATCTGCACTAGAGATGCTCTAGTAAATATGAAATGTACTTCTCAAAATATTGATGATTAAAAACAGAGTTTGCTCTCTCGAAAGCTCATGAATGCGCGAGCTCGAACTGCTCCATCTCGCGCGGTAGCACAGCAGACTCACGCGCTTATATAGTCCAGCACACACCGTGACTGACGGACAGCCGCCTCCGCCAATCAGAGGACAGGGTATTCACTAAGGCCCTCTAAACGGCCAATAGTTAAGCTCCAAATGAAGGCATGTGCTTTCGGTCACCGCCTCTCCTCGCTGAATAGGTATCCAGCCGAGTGCCTGTGCTGACCCGACAGAAACTAATCAATATCATCAATATCAACAAATGTCACTTGCCGAGGACAAAAATAACTTTGAATATTTAACTGTGATTTATGACCTGTGAAAACCCCATCGCGCTTGCCTGGGCACAGTCGTGAACTCGACACAGGCACCGTCACATGTGTAAAAAAGCCCTGACTGAGTTCCTCAGCACGAAACTGACGCGAACAGCCGCGAATAATGACCGAATGAAGCTGGAAATACGCGTTATGTGACACTGACATTATGCAATTTGATACATTAATGCGAATGTGAGTTTTTAAAGACACCCTACCTAGTTTCTGCAGGAGGAGGGGAACTCTGGGAAATGTAGTCCTGTTCTCTGAATCTGCTGCAAAACCAGAGAAATAAGAATTTCAGAAGAATTTATTTTTGTTCCAAGTTCCGTTATTCTTACTATTTTTCTTTTTTACAAGATGTTACAATAACTGACACAATGGCATTGTTTATGTAACACGATACTTGTTTATGGGAGATGTTGTGAGCGGGGCTAGTTGTCACATAATTGTTTTTTTTTTTGTTTTTTTTCAATAGAGAATATACAAAGAGATTTACATGACAAGTCACATAATTGTTTTAAACACTTCCCCATGCCAACATGACGAAACTTAAATCAGCTGCCATATCAACAGAAAAGAAATTGCGCCAAAATTCAGAAATCTTTGGAAGATATCACTGAACATTTTTTTAACCATAGCAAAAGTTCAAAAGTTGTTTTTTTTGGGGTTTTTTTTTTTTTTTTTTCAAAATTAGACAAATCCGATATTACTTAATGCTGATCTAACCAGCAGAAACACTCGCTGGGTTTAAACCCCAGTTGCTCAGGCGGGGCATGTTGTCACTCGGAGTTGCAATGAGTCGCTATATTACAACTATGATATTTTGTTCTACACTTTTATGAATTCTATTGAGAAACCATGAGAAAAAGGTCAACAAAACAGTCAGTGTTTAGAAATTATTCATTATTATTATGTTTTTAACTATGCGGTATAGCTGTGTTTTCCGGTGTGTTTGTTGTCAAACTCAAAAATGTGTATATTTTTAATAATTAATAATGGCATTATTTTAATTAAAGTACTTGATTTAATTAAAGTAACTGTATTTTATTGACAAAATATTTTAGTTTGTATTGCATATTTTTTTTAATAGATCAGATAACTCTATCATATAGCCTAGTGATGTTACAATAAACTGGGGCATCACATTTCACTGCCATTCTTTTGGGGTAAATCAAGAAAAAAAGTAGCACACATTGTGTTGATAATAATAATAATCATAATAAGTTTAATTTATATAGCGTCTTTCCGAAGCTCAAGTACGCTTCACAATAACAGTACAAAAAAACAATCAGACAATAGACATTTGCCCAGTCCGAGCAATTGCAGTCGCATTACAGAATGAAGCAAAAGCACATAATTGTACTCGAGGTGTGAAATGAATGTAGGGAAAATTAAATACTCTGAACCCCAAGTGCATTTACACAAACTGAGAAAGTCAAAAAGTGTTCGGATGTGATTCTGCCAGAAAAAGAGATTAATTGTAGATGAACTATTCTAGATGAATGAAAACAGCACCGAGTGCATCACCAGTGTGTGTCACCGCTAGCAGAGGTGTGCCTCAGCTAATCAGAACAATAAATATGGTTTATCCACAGTCTTTAGGCTTGGTCGTTGCTAAAACTATTTTTTTAATTAATTTATTTGTATTTTGTTTTTAGGGCCCCCTTAAACATCGGTAGATGAGGTTATGGGATTCTAACTCTACCCCATACCTAAACTTAACCCTAAACCTAACCCGTCACCTAACTGACGTTAAAGGTAAAGCGTCAGTTGTATGACGGCCCGGGATCGCCATCTACCGACGTTTAAGGGTACCCTAAAAAGGCGGATATTGACGTATGGTCAAAATACGTCCCAAAACGTCAGTTATATGACGATTTGGGATGAGACTGTGTTACACACACTGCTAACCCTATACCCGCCAGCTGTGAAAGCAGCTTATGAGAAACTATGGACTTTTTTGTTGTCACTTCTGGCGAGATATGATCCATACAAATATAAATGTACATGACCAAATATTGCAAAGGCTCTAGAAAGCAAAAGCAGGATAAACTATTTGAGTCCTTGAATTCGATACGAAATCTTAACTAAAAGGCCAACTTAAGAGAAATAAAAGATCCAGAGTTTTACTCTGTTATAATGAACACAAGACATCAGATCAGCGGAGCCAAGGGTTCAGATCCGTCACGATCCAACGCCAGCCGAGGACACAATCACCAGAGCTTCGGGTTTCTTGCAGTACATGACCGAAGTGCTCATGGGATGGAAAATGAAATAGCTTTTAGAGTGAAAGCACAACTCCACACAGGTCTGAGGTCAGGGATAGGGCGGCGCAAGCGCAATCTGCCCTTCAGAAACGTATTCTAGCAAGGAAGCCCCCACACACACACACACACACACACACACACACACACACACACACGTGTGTGTGTGTGATGGAGCTTCTGTCCACTAGAGGGAGTGTTGTTGAAGTCCAATCCTGGGGTCCATGGAACAGTTTAGAGAAATGGAGTGGAAAAATATAAAAACAAAGATTAAAATAAATAGATACATTTAATTAAAATAAATAAATGTATCTTTACTCAAATAAACAAATGTTAAATTAATACATAAAATGAAAATAGATTGATTAAAAGAAATGAAAATTCGATTTATATAATACATTTATTCACTTGAGAAAGATTAATAAATTAATGAAAATACATCTAACTTGCATCTAACAGTATTACAATGAGGAGACAAAAATGCAATGATGTAATGTAAAATAAACTAAATATTTTACACATATACAATATGAATTTTTCACAGTTTAGTTGGGTGTTTATATACATACTGAGAACATACTGTATACCTGTCTTTATATGTTAGGATGTGGTGGTGCCGCGCAGGAGATGATGATGTTTGGGGTCTGGCTGAATCCAAACTATGAAACATTATTTTTACCACATTATACGTATCTACGTTTGAGCAGATATCCACAAACACAGTATTTAACAGTGGTCTAAACATTATAATATTCACCATATCAGAGTAAACACTCATATTAGCCGACTTTTATATTGTGCTGTGTTTTATTATCAGACATAAAAACATTGTGTACGAATTCAGCATGAAAAGGTTGCCTACCTGTCTTTAGTTCAAATTTCAACATGTTTCTGTCTATATATATATATATATATATATATATATATATATATATATATATACATACATACATACATTTTAGTCTGGCACCAGTAGCTACAATGTAAAGTTTATGCAACAATAAAATGCTTTCTATTAAGAGTAAAAATATCTTACGTTAAAAATCTTTCTCATCTTCAAATCTCCCTCTTCTAATTCTTCTGAGGTAAATCCCAGGTGAACAGCACAGCGTCGATGAAAAGCAGAGGAGTCGAAGTCTTTATGTGGATGTCAATTGCTCGCTACCTCTGACACTAGACCCAGTTAAAAACATATCCTTTTAACAAGCATTATAGATAATGTGATTATATATATCCTATGTGGCTGTTTAGTGTATTGTATGTACAATGTAAAGCAACCTTGAGCCTCTGGAAAGGCGCTATATAAATAAAACTTCTTCTTCTTCTTCTTCTTAATTGCGGTGTGGTCATATTAGAGCTAATGAGGACGCGTTTGAGAAACTGTACATCTCAATGCTTTCATACAGATTCCTTAAACAGAGAATATTTGTTTTTGATATGATTTACATAATTTAAAAATACAGACATCAAGCTTTGTAAAAACATAAATCTCAAGTCTGTGTGACAAACATTCGCTAAATTACAGAGTCTCAGAATGACCTTCACATTAAGAGAGCATCATGTTAATTTTCTGTATTTTACAAAAAAATACAATATTTTGTTTTTATTACGAGTGTACATAAATAAAAGAAGACATTTAACAGTTTTGAATGATGTATAACACTTGCCTGTATGATAAAAAGAGGAGGAACAGACGCTGGGATGATGAGTAACGATGCAGGTGGAGCTGGGGAGGTGGAGGGACGCCGGAGCGAAGGGGTCAAGCGCTCCGCAGGTCAACTGAGCGATTAGATGGGTTCAATCCTCCCGATATTACGCTGTGAAGGTCACTTAAAGGACCCGAACCCTAAAACAGTACACACACTATATGGAATATTACCTGACATCAGAAACACACACACACACACACACACATTCATCAGTCAGTGTTTGATGTGAGTGCTGTCAGATGTGATTTAATGAAGTGACGCAGATGACGTGTGTGTGTGTGTGTGTGTGTGTGTGTGTGTGTGTGTGTGTGTGTGTGAGAGAGAGAGAGTGCGTGCGTGCGTGTGTGTGTGTGTGTGTGTGTGTGTGTGTGTGTGCACGCGTGTGTGTGTGAGAGAGAGAGTGCGTGCGTGTGTGTGTGTGTGTGTGTGTGTGCACGCGTGTGTGTGTGTGAGAGAGAGAGTGCGTGCGTGTGTGTGTGTGTGTGTGTGATTGAGCAGAGCTGCTTCCTGTTGTTGCAGTAGGACACACACACACACACAGAGAGAGAGAGAGAGAGAGTACAGGACACACACAATGAAAAAAATAAATAGGTTACACACTCACACCCATGTTCACAGATATGCAAGGTTAGAAAACAGGAAATATGAACAATAGACTCACAAAGTCAAACTTTGTGTGTTATTGAGTGAGTGTGTGTGTGTGTGTGTGTGTGTGTGTGTGTGTGTGAGGAAGTCAGCATTGTTCCAGCAGAGAGAGATAGTATAAGGAGGGAAACACAGATCCTGAGAAAATCCAGAGGAGTTGGTGTGTGTGTGTGTGTGTGTGTGTGTGTGTGTGTGAATCTAACATGATCCTGATGGACAGAAGATGATGATGACGATGAAGACGATGAAGATGATGACGATGGTCTGCACTGATGGCCGGTGAGTAACACGTGTGTGAGTTATTCTACATCTGAGTTTGAACCCTGCGAGGTTAAGAAAGTGTGTATAGAACAAGTGTGATCGGATGATGTCATGATCATGTGACCCTCAGCGTGTCACACACACACACACGCTTCAGCATCTGTTTTTCACATATAGTAGTAGTGAAGTCTTGCTTCTGTTAATTACACAACAGCCGTTAGTGAAGGAGAGATTAGAGGAAAACAGGCCAACAGATTATAATCTTCATAAACAGAGGAAGGAGAATAATCTCTCAGATCACATCTGCTGAACAACTGACAAACAACAACACGATGAGCACCTCACACACACACACACACTCACACACACACACACACACTCACACTCACTCACACACACTCTCTCTCACACACGCACACTCACACACTCACTCACTCACACACACACACACACACACACATTCTCTCTCACACACACACACACGCACACACACACGTCTATTCCATTCAGATGATTTTATTATTACATTATTTTATTATGTGGCCAGACAGTTAGTTGCGCGTTCCCGTTAAAAGCGCACTCGCGTCCGGTATTGTTCCCCCGTTAACGGGACAAAGATGCTCTGAGAGGGAGGGAGGGAGGGAGGGAGAGAGAGAGAGAGGAGGGGGGGGGGGCAGAGGGAGAGAGAGGGAGAGGGAGGGAGTGAGGGAGGGAGTGAGTGAGGGAGAGAGAGAGTGTCACACACTGACCGGTGGGTAACAATGATGATGATGTTGATATTGATGATGATGGTCACCGGGCGCACGCGGGTCACCGGGATGCGGGGGTAACGGGCACAGGCACGCGCAGGTGAGTTTGTGTGGCTGATGATCGTGTTGTTTGTTCGATAATTTCTCGCTGAAGGGCATATGTTTGAGCTCGTATGAGATCATGTCGCTGTTAGGATCAAATCCCATCACTGTTTCTCCGACCCGCTCATTTGTCCCTCAGTTCATAGTCTGTCAGAAACATCACGGTTGTGTTTTGTTGTGAAATCGCTTCACACCGGTGCCGGGTTAGGCATTCGGGCGCGCGCATCTTGCGTTCACTGCAACAATAACAGCTATTCCTGTCAAAGATGATTTTTTTCAGTCACGATTGATTTGATATTACATTCTTGATCTATATGTACATATATTCACAGCAGAAGCTTTAATCAGTATCGCTTTTATCGGATTTTTTTGGTCACAATCGCTATTTACAGTATTTACAGTATTTACAAATGGACTGTAACGTTTAGAATAACGCTCTTTTGTGCGTCGCGCGCCCTACATCCGCCCGCTCGCGGCTGCGCGTGCACGTGCGCGTGCCCGAGTCAGATCAGGACAATAGACCTGCAATCACATCATATGACATTATCAAAAGATGATTCTATTGTTGTTGATTCAGGAACGTTAAAAGCTCTAAACTGGTTTAGTAGCGAATAGTGCAGATTACAATGTGCTGGTCAGATTTATTAATTATAACCTTTATTTTACCGGGAAAAGAAGCACATTGAGATTAAGATTCTCTTTTACAAGAGCGTCCAAGAGTGGACACATCTCGTTTGAGTTTAACAGATAACATCCATCAATAAATTCACATATACACACACAAGCAAATGCAACCAGTTTCACTATCAATACATAACTAGTTCAAACATTTACAGCCCGATGTTTCATTCTCCAAATCACTTAAAACTACTTTGAAATGTCCAACGAAACCAGCTCTGTAAGTTTCACCGTCCTGGCCACATTATTCCAGACAGAGGGAGCGAGAAACTCAAAGCCTTTCCCTAGTTCAGAACCATCACTGGGACACCCCGACACACAACACACACTGATGATGAGGGTTAGGAGATCTGCTATGATGCTCAGTGCACCGGGATGAAGCATGCGGACTGTGATTGTGAAGATGCGTTTATATCACATCAGTCCAGGACAGACAGAAGAGCGGCTGCGGCGAGACCGGCTTTGATTCTAAAGTAAAAACCCAATTTCGTTTCAATCGTTTCATCAGTTGCTGAAGATG